TGAGGAAGCACAGTAGTCCCATCTTGGTCCCCTGGTCCCCTGTGTGTGTGTGTGTGTGTGTGTGTGTGTGTCAATCTCGCGCATGTGACCAATAGAGCCCAACAATGACCAATAGAGCCAACTTGACCAATAGGCCGACGGTGACCAATAGAGCCCAACAGTGACCAATAGGGCCCAACAGTGACCAATAGGCCCAACGGTGACCAATAGAGGCCCGACGATGACCAATAGGAGCCCAACAGTGACCAATAGAGCCCAACAGTGACCAATAGAGGCCCAACGGTGACCAATAGAGGCCAACGGTGAGCCCGACAGTGACCAGCGGGGCCCAACAGTGACCAATAGGGCCAACAGTGACCAATAGAGCCCAACAGTGACCAATAGGGCCCAACAGTGACCAATAGAGGCCCAACAGTGACCAGCAATAGACCCTGACAGTGACCAATAGAACAACAGTGACCAATAGGAGCCCAACCAATGACCAATAGGCCCGATAACCAATAGAGGCCCAACATTGACCAATAGGCCCAACAGTGACCAATATGAGACCAATGAACTAACCTTGGACCAATAGCCCGACAGTGACCAATAGAGCCCGACAATGACCAATAGAAGACGGTGCCCAATAGAGTGACCCGATGACCAATGGGGCCCGACAGTGACCAATAGAGGCCCTTAATGACCAATAGAGGGCCCAATAGTGACCAATAGACCCGACAGTGACCAATAGAGGCCGACAGTGACCAATAGAGCCGACAGTGACCAATAGAGCCCAACAGTGACCAATAGAGGGCCCAACAGTGACCAATAGAGGCCCGACAGTGACCAATAGGCCAGTGACAGTGACCAATAGAGGGCCCAACGAAGTGAGCCCAGGGCCCAACGGTGATAATGGGGGCAACGGTGACAATAGACCAACGGTAGAGTGACCCATGGGGGTAACAGTGACCAATAGGGTGACCAATGGGGCCCGACAGTGACCAACGGTGGGCCAACAGTGACCAATAGGCCAACAGTAATAGAGGCCTTGGTGACCGCCCAACAGTGACCAATAGGGCCCAACAGTGACCAATAGAGGACCGATGACCAATGGAACGTGACCAATGACCAATAGAGCCCAACAGTGACCAATAGAGACGGTGACCAATAGTGCCACCCAATGGTGACCAATAGGACCAATAGGGCCCGACAGTGACCAATAGAGGCCTTGGTGGCCAATAGGGCCCGACAGTGACCAATAGAGGCCGGTGACAGTGACCAATGACCAATAGGGCCCAACCGATGGAGCACAACGGTGCCAATAGAGGCCCAACAGTGACCAATAGGCCCAACAGTGACCAATAGAGGGGCCCGACGGTGACCAATGATTAGCCCAACAGTGACCAACAGAGCCAACAGAGCCAATAGGTTTCGACGGTTTGTGGGTAAAATTGTTAAACGACGGTGATATGGGGAGCCCAAGGTTTCGTTTGTGGGTGGAATTATTTGAAGAGAGAGAGAGTCTGCCTTGTTCATATCTGGCTTCTACAAATATCGTGAAAGTTTGTACATATATATATTGCCAATTCGTTCGTCCCCTGCCCTGGTGTGTGTGTGTGTGTGTGTGTGTGTGTGTGTGTGTGTGTGTGTGTTTTGATATAGCATGTGTATGTGTCTCCTCTCTCTCTCTCTCTCTCTCCGCTCTACCTTGGTCCTTTCACACTTTCTCTCAAATTTTCCTATGCATTTTCCTGGTCTTTTTCATGCTTTCTCGTTTCCTTTCTCCCCACACACTCTCACACTTCTGCTTTTTCTCCCACACTTTCTCTTCTAAATTTTCGCTTACTTTCTTCCATACTTTCACCCACACTTTGTCTCTCACCCTCCCATAATTTCTCATACTTTTAACCCACACTTTCTCTCCTACACTCACCCACACTTTCTCTTAACAACAGGTGTACAGTAACATAATGGTGGTGAAAGTACTTGTAGTTTTAGTGGCGTTTATAACAGCTGTGTGATGATGGTACCGCCTCGTTCTGATGCTCTCTCGTAAAATTAATGTACTGGACACGTTAAGGAGTTCATTCTGGGGTGTTCAGTGGCCAGCGTTCATTCCACAGTGTTCAGTGTTCACCCTACAACACTGTAAAATTGTCTCCAAACTTATAAATTATTTCTCACGCTGGAAAAATTATCGCCAACAGTGGAAATATTATCGTCAATTGTAGAAAAATTATCGTCAATTGTAGAAAAATTATCGTCAATTGTAGAAAAATTATCGTCAATTGTAGAAAAATTATCATTACTTGTAGAAAAATTATCGTCAATTGTAGAAAAATTATCGCCAACAGTGGAAATATTATCGTCAATTGTAGAAAAATTATCGTCAATTGTAAAAAAATTATCGTCAATTGTAGAAAAATTATCATTACTTGTAGAAAAATTATCGCCAACAGTGGAAATATTATCGTCAATTGTAGAAAAATTATCGTCAATTGTAGAAAAATTATCGTCAATTGTAGAAAAATTATCGTCAATTGTAGAAATATTATCGTCAATTGTAAAAAAATTATCGTCAATTGTAGAAAAATTATCGTCAATTGTAGAAAAATTATCGTCAATTGTAGAAAAATTATCATCAATTGTAGAAAAATTATCGTCAATTGTAGAAAAATTATCGTCAATTGTAGAAAAATTATCATCAATTGTAGAAAAATTATCGTCAATTGTAGAAAAATTATCGTCAATTGTAAAAAAATTATCGTCAATTGTAGAAATATTATCGTCAATTGTAAAAAAATTATCGTCAATTGTAGAAAAATTATCGTCAAATGTAAAAATTATCGTCAGTTGTAGAAAATTATCATCAATTAGAAAAATTATCGTCAATTGTAGAAAAATTATCGTCAATTGTAGAAAATTATCAATTGTGGAAATATTATCGTCAATTGTAAAAAATTATCGTCAATTGTAGAAAATTATCGTCAATTGTAAAAAATTATCGTCAATTAGAAAAATTATCGTCAATTGTAAAAAATTATCGTCAATTGTAGAAAAATTATCGTCAACACCACAACACCATACACTTTGTCTCAGAGGGGATGAGGGGAGGTAAGGGGAGGAGGATGGGGAAGGGGTGAGGAAAGGGGGGAGGAGGAATTGATGAGGGAAGGGAATGGGGTGAAGAAGAGAGGGTAAGAAAGGAGGAGAGGAAAAGGGGTAAGGGGAGAGTGGGGGAAAGGGAGAGAGGTAAGGGAGAGAGGGGTGGCATTCTTAATTTTCTGGTGCAAACTTGGTGACATTAATTAAAGAGAGAAGGGAGGTGGAGGGAGGGAAGGTGTGAGAGAGAGATGAGGGGGAGGAAGGGGGTAGAAGGAGAGGTAAGGAGGAGAGGGAGGGGATGGGGAAGGAAGAGGGAGAAGGAGGAGAAAGATTGAGGCAGAGATGAAGAAGGAGGGATAGGAGAGAGGGAGGTATGAAAGACGAAGGGGGAAGAGAAGAGAGAGGAGAAGGGGGTGGAAGGAAGAGGTGAGGAAAGGAGGGGAGAGAGAGTGCAAAACAAACAGTAGTTTTTGAATATATTATTATTATTATTATCATTATTATTCCCTCTTTCCACTCTCCTCTCACTCCCTCCTTCTCCCCCTCTCACCCCCCTCTCTCCACTCTCTCACCCCCTCACCCCCTCTCACCCCCTCACCTTGCCTCACTCCCATCCTCCAATAAACACCGTCATTACACTCAACCATTACCATTTTAACACTCCTTCCCTCCTCTTCCACCTCCCCTCCTCATCTTGTCCTCCTCCTCATCTTGTCCTCCTCCCTCATCTTGTCCTCCTCCTCATCTTGTCCCTCCTCCTCATCTTGTCCCTCCTCCTCATCTTGTCCTCCCTTCATCGTGTCCTCCTCCTCCTCATCTTGTCCCTCCTCCTCATCTTGTCCTCCTCTTCATCTTGTCCTCCTCCTCATCTTGTCCTCCTCCTCATCTTGTCCTCCTCCCTCATCTTGTCCTCCTCCTCATCTTGTCCTCCTCCTCATCTTCTGTCCTCCTCCTCATCTTGTCCTCCTCCTCATCTTGTCCTCCCTCCTCCTCCTCATCTTGTCCTCCTCCTCTCCTCTTTCCCTCTCCTCCTCCTCATCTTGTCCTCCTCCTCCTCCTCATCTTGTCCCTCCTCCTGTCATCTCTCTCACCTTTTTCACCTCCACGTTCTCTCCATTCTCCCTCATTTTCTTCCCGTCTTTTCCCCCATATCTCTCTCTCTCTCTCTCTCTCTCTCTCTCAGGCCTGGATGATCACTGTCCCTCAGGCCGATGATCACTGTCCCTCAGGCCAGGATGATCACTGCCCTCAGGGCCAGATGATCACTGTCCTCAGGCCAGGATGATCACTGCCTCAGGGCCAGGATGATCACTGTCTCTCAGGCCAGGATGATCACTGTCTCTCAGGGCCAGGATGATCACTGTCTCAGGGCCAGGATGATCACTGTCTCTCAGGGCCAGGATGATCACTGTCTCTCAGCCAGGATGATCACTGTTCTCAGGGCCAGGATGATCACTGCCCTCAGGCCAGGATGATCACTGTCTCTCAGGCCAGGATGATCACTGCCCTCAGGCCAGGATGATCACTGTCTCTCAGGGCCAGGATGATCACTGTCCTCAGGGCCAGGATGATCACTGTCTCAGGGCTAGGATGATCACTCTCTCAGGCCCAGGATGATCACTGTCCTCAGGCCAGGATGATCACTGTCTCAGGGCCAGGATGATCACTGTCCTCAGGGCCAGGATGATCACCAGGGCCAGGATGATCACTGTCTCAGGGCCAGGATGATCACTGTCTCTCAGGCCAGGATGATCACTGTCTCTCAGGGCCAGGATGATCACTGCCCTCAGGCCAGGATGATCACTGTCTCTCAGGGCCAGGATGATCACTGTCTCTGGGCCAGGATGATCACTGTCTCAGGGCCAGGATGATCACTGTCTCTCCAGGGCCAGGATGATCACTGTCTCAGGGCCAGAATGATCACTGTCTCTCAGGCCAGGATGATCACTGTCTCTCAGGGCCAGGATGATCACTCAGGCCAGATGATCACTGTCCCTCAGGGCCAGGATGATCACTGTCTCTCAGGCCAGGATGATCACTGTCTCTCAGGGCCAGGATGATCACTGTCCCTCAGGGCCAGGATGATCACTGTCTCAGGGCCAGGATGATCACTCAGGCCAGGATGATCACTGTCTCAGGGCCAGGATGATCACTGTCTCAGGCCAGGATGATCACTGTCTCAGGGCCAGAATGATCACTGTCTCTCAGGGCCAGGATGATCACTGTCTTTCAGATGATCCTGCCTCAGGCCAGGATGATCACTGTCTCAGGCCAGGATGATCACTGTCTCAGGGCCAGATGATCACTGTTCAGGGCCAGGATGATCACTGTCTCAGGGCCAGGATGATCACTGCTCAGGGCCAGGATGATCACTGTCTCTCAGGCCAGGATGATCAGTTCGGTTATTCAGGATAATTACACACATCTTTCCGACTCCTTAAACTGCAAAAAATTTTGACTCGAGGGGAGAGAGAGAGAGAGAGAGAGAGAGAGAGAGAGCCCAGACCTGACGTTGTCCCCTATGTTGTGACTAATGGCGGAATTAAAATGAGTGCGAGAAAGAGAGAGAGAGAGAAAATGAGAAAGACAAAGAAAGGACAAGGAGGAAGAGAGAGAGAGAGAAAGAAAAAAAAGAGAGCAAAGGTGAGAGATAAAGAGAGAGTGAGTGAGGAGGGAGAGAGAGAAATGAGAAAGACAAAGAATGAGAAAGAGTAGAAGAGAAAGAGAGAGAGAGAGAGAGAGAGAAAGAGAGACAGGGACATATTCCACAATTCTCATAAACTGATATGTAAATATTGTGATGAATTTATAATTACCAAATCCTAATTCAGTTTTTTTCCCTTCACTTAAAAGGAGGAGGAGGAGGGCAAGGGAGGGAGTGGGGGAACGGAGGGAGGAGTGAAGGAAGGGGGGAAGGATACAGTAGTAAGGAATGGTGGAATGATTGAGAAGGGAGGAAGGAAGGATGGAGGGGAGGAAGGAAGGATGAAGGGGAAGGAGGAAAGATGGAGGGAAGGAAGTATGGTGGCGCGCGGAGAGCTAAGAAGAGAGGGGGAGGAGGGGTGGGGACGGAGAAGAGGGAGGAGTGGGGGACAGGAAAGAGGGAGGGAAGGATGGGAGGGAGGGAGTGAGAGGGAAAATAAACAGGAAGTAAATGGAAGGTGGTCATCGTCCTCCTTCCCTCCGGCCATAACTCAACCAAGCGAGACATCTTATACCCTCCTCCACCTATTTCCTTCTATCACATTTTTTTCCTCCTATTTATATCATAATTTCCTGTTATACCTCATTCTCTATTACTTTCTTTAGTAGTAACAACTATTTTATTATTATTATTATTTATTATTATTATTATTATTATTATTTCGAGTTATCTTTTGTTCTTCGTGTTTTTGATCCCGTCTCTGGGCCATGTCTCGCTCTACAGGGTCGCCATTATCACAGATTTGACCTTTTCCTCGCCTGCATACCGTGTTGTTATTGTTATTATTATTACTCGACAAACAGTGTGCGTCGGAGCTATTAAGTTTTATCTGGTAATAAGTGCCTCTGGAGACGGTAGAAGAGCCCCCGTAATCAAGTTTATAGTTACCCAGCGAGACTCAGGCGCCATCTTGAGTTAATGTTGACGTCATTGCCGGAGAATCGCCCACTTTTGTCCCTTATCTCGCGTTTTGATCATTCATCCGTCTATTTTATCTCTCTCCAAATGACGCAATCTCCCGGGGGTTTTCTTCCAGCTGATTCCTAATTAGCTTCAATTCACACTTGGAATTTCTTCTGATTAATGCCCCGAGGATGATTTTTCTGTCTTCACTTTTAAAAGAGTTTCCGTCGACGCTGCTGGAACCTTGACTGACGATGAAGTCTTTGTGCCGCCTCAAGTAAGCTTAATTGTGCCGAGTTATGCCGTCCCGTTAACTTCTGTTGCTGAACACTGTCCCGTTAACTTCTGTTGCTGAACACTGTCCCGTTAACTTCTGTTGCTGAACACTGTCCCGTTAACTTCTGTTGCTGAACACTGTCCCGTTAACTTCTGTTGCTGAACACTGTCCCGTTAACTTCTGTTGCTGAACACTGTCCCGTTAACTTCTGTTGCTGAACACTGTCCTGTTAACTTCTGTTGCTGAACACTGTCCCATTAGCTTCTGTTGGTGAAAACTGTTCCGTTAACTTCTGTTGATTAACGCCTGGATAACATTAACCAAAGGAGTTTGGATAACGTTAACAGGAGAGTTTGGATAACTTTAACAGGGAGAGTGTGGATAACGTTAACAGTGGAGAGTGGATAACTTTAACAGAGGGAGAGGTGGATAACGTTAACAGAGGGAGAGGTGGATAACGTTAACAGTGGGAGAGTGGATAACTTAACAGAGGGAGAGTGGATAACGTTAACAGAGGGAGAGTGTGGATAACTTTAACAGAGGGAGAGTGTGGATAACGTTAACAGGGAGATGTGGATAACTTTAACAGAGGGAGAGTGTGGATAACGTTAACAGAGGGAGAGTGGATAACGTTAACAGTGAGAGTGTGGATAACTTTAACAGAGGGAGAGTGTGGATAACGTTAACAGGAGAGTGATAACGTTAACAGAGGGAGAGGGATAACGTTAACAGAGGGAGAGTGGATAACGTTAACAGGGAGAGTGTGGATAACGTTAACAGAGGGAGAGTGGATAACGTTAACAGAGGGAGAGTGTGGATAACGTTAACAGAGGGAGAGTGGATAACGTTAACAGAGGAGAGGTGGATAACGTTAACAGAGGGAGAGTGTGATAACGTTAACAGAGGGAGAGTGTGATAACGTTAACAGAGGAGAGTGTGGATAACGTTAACAGAGGGAGAGTGTGATAACGTAACAGAGGGAGGTGTGGATAATGTTAACAGAGGAGAGTGGATAACGTTAACAGAGGGAGAGTGGATAACGTTAACAGAGGGAGAGGATAACTTTAACAGAGGGAGAGTGTGGATAACGTTAACAGAGGAGAGTGGATAACGTTAACAGAGGAGAGTGGATAACGTTAACAGAGGGAGAGTGTGGATAACGTTAACAGAGGGAGAGTGATAACGTTAACAGGAGGAGAGTGATATAACTAGGAGGAGAGTCATGGTGGATAATGTAGGATTGTGAGTAAAGCCCTGATTCCATTTCTTCCTCTCTCTCTCCATCCTCTTCCTCCCCTTTCTGTTCTCCTCTCCCACCATTTCCTCTCTCTCTCTCTCTCTTCTCTCTCTCTTCTCTCTCTCTCCGGATTCACCTCATCTTTATTTGTGTCTTACGACTTGTTCTGGTGTATGGAGGAATTAGGGAAGAGGGAGGAAAGAGGGAGGAAAGGAGAAGGAGGAAGAGAGGGAGGAGGAGGAGAGGAGAAAGGGAAGGGAGGAGAGGGGGAGGAGGAGAGGAGAGAGGAGGGAGAAGAGGGAGAGGGAGGGAGGAGAGGGAGGAGGGAGAGAGGGAGGGAGGAAGGGAGGAGGGGAAAGAGAGGGAGGAGGGAGGAAGAGGGAGGAGGGGGGAAGGAGGGAGGGAGAGGAGAGGTGAAGAAGGGGAGAGAGAAGGGAGGGAGGGATAAAGATAGGGAGGAGGTAGTGGTAGAATGAATGAGATAGGAAGACAGCAGATGGGAAGGGAGGAGAGAGAGTGTGTGTGTGTGTGTGTGGGAGAGTGGTGAGAGTCATTTAGATTGAGAGAGGAAAGCAGTGAGAGTCAGTGAGGTAAGTGTGTGTACGGGGAGATGAAAAAAGTAAGTGAGAGTGAGTGAGTGAGTGGGGGGAGAGAGGCGCTAATAGCCACTACGAGACTATTAATCAAGTAGTCAGTGGGTGTGACCCTGACCTCTCTCTCTCTCTCTCTCTCTCTCTCTCTCTCTCTCTCTCTCTCTCTCTCTCTCCTCCCCCTCTCCCCCTCTCTCTCTCTCTCTCTCTCCCTTCTCTCTTTTCCCCCTTCTCCCTCTCTCTCTCCTTCCTCTTCTCCCCCCCCTCTCTCCCCCTCCTCCCCTCCTCCCTCCTCCCTCTCTCTCCCCTCCTCTCTTCTCCCCCCTCCCTCCTCCCTTCTCTCCTCCTTTCTCCTTCCTCCCTCTTCTCTCTCTCTCTCTCTCCTCCCTCTCTCTCCTCCTCCCTTCTCCTCTCTTTTTTTTTTCTCTCCCCTTCTCTTTAGCTAACACACACACACACACACACACACACACACACACACACACACACACACAGGTGATAAACACTCGGTAATTAATAGGTGAACAAGGTCAGACTCATACCTGCCCAGGTGACATTAATAGAAGTGGGAGATGGGGAGGTGGGGGAGGGAGGGTTGGAGGGGTGGGGAGGTGAGGGAGGGAGGGTGAGGGAGGGAAGCAAGGATAATATGAAGCAAGGAGGAGGGAGGAAGTATATATGAAGGGAAGGAAGAGGAGAGGGAGAGGAAATGGGGATAGGTGAGAGGAGAAGAGGAGAAGGAGGAGGAAATGGGAAGAAATATTGGGGTTAGGGAAGGATGAGGGGGAATGGGGGAGGAGAGAAGGAAGGATAGGAAACGGAGGGGAAGAGGAGGTGGTAAAGGGATAAGAGAAGGAGGGAGAGGTGTTATGACCTGGGAGAGCAACACACACACACACACACCTCACACACACACACACACTCACACACACACACACTCACACACACACACACACTCACTCACTCACACACACACACACACACACACACACACACTCACACACACACACACACACCACACACACACACTCACACACACACACACCCACACACACACACACACACACACTCACACACACACACACACTCACACACACACACACACACACACACACACACACACACACACACACACACACAGTATATCTACCTTTAATGTCCCAATTTATTTTGTATTATAATTTAAAACTTAATAAGCATTAATCTCTGAAGTCTTAATAACTGTACAATGATGCTGATGGTAGATGATGATGATGGTAGATGATGATGATGATGGTAGATGATGATGGTAGATGATGTGTGTGGTAGAATGAT